CCTTTTAAAAAAAAAAAAAACATTAGTAGAACGACGTCGTTTTGATGTCGAGGTTAAAAAAAAAAGAAGGGGAAGCGCGCAAGATCTCTGCGCGCTGGAGAAGCAGATTGTGACTCTTTGGGGACTTTCATCAAACACTTTGCAGGGGTCAATTTTCTCCCCTTCCATGGCAGATTTCAGAGGTTGCAGGGGTCACTTGACCACCCTTGCTCCTCTGTAGATCCGTCCCTGGATGGGACCCACACCGCTCTCTCCGTCGAGGAGCTTGTCATAGTAAGCACTGACGTCATTGTTGAAAACAGAGACGAGTTTTGGTTTCAGCTGCCTGCCTTTTTTCTTCTTTTTGTCAAAGTTGAGGTTTTCTCCTTAAGTTCTTAAAAGTAATTTTACAAAGGGATAAATTTATCTTAAAATGTTTGAAGATAAGGTGAATGAGAAAATAGAACAAGTGGGTGGAAATAGTAGCACTCTTTAGCTCAGTCTAAATGAAGAAATAGAAGACTAGGAATTAGGAGCGGGGCATTCAAACCAGAGAACCGAAAAACCAAGCCGAATTGGATTGAAAAAAATTGGAAAAAACTGAGTTGACCACAAACTGGACCGAGTTGACCACAAACCAAACAGATATGTTTGGTCCATTTCCAATTTCAGTTCTTGTAGTTAAAAAAAGGGGAGCGACTTAAATATATATTATTTATTTATATAATATTAGCCCAAACCCAATTTTTTCTCCAAGCCTAATCTTTCTTCAAGCCCAAATACTCTTCCAAGCCGTCAAGCCCAACTCCAAGCCTTGGAATTTATATATAAATTTTTTTTGAAAATATAATAATAATAATCCGGTTCAAAATCAAACCGAATTAAAAAGTGGCTGGAATTGGTTCAAACCGGACTAGTCGGTCGGTTTATAATTTTTTTTTACTAAAATTGGACTGAATCGGACCGATTAAATTATTCCGATTTTGATTTGAAGTGGAAACCAAACAGTGCCCACCCCTCTAGAAATGCTTACAATCTAGGCTTATTACAAATACTCTTGAAACTTGAAGGACGAAAAGAAAAATTCCGAGACCAAAGTGGGATAAACAAAAAAGTTCAGGGAAACCACATGCGGGATCTATGATTAATTTAAAATTTTGGATAACCTATGACGAAAAGCTATGACGTATGTCACTTACCTAAGCCGCAGTGGCAACAACTTTCAAATTCAAAACAATTGCATGCTTAGCTGGAAAAGCATTGAAGATTGCTAAATAAATAATTGGAAGCATAATTACTTCTTATTTTCTAAATTTTGGCCCGATTCGCAAGAAATATAAATAATATATCTTAATTTATTTGGACCAACCACTCATTTGTTTGTATCTTACTGACATTTGATCGGCGGAGGAGGAGCCAGGAGGGAAGACAAAGTTGTTTGTATTCCGACGTCAACAAAGGGGTAATAAAAACGATAAGACTCAACTTTTGTTTTCTCCCAATTGGTAATAAAAGATAGACAAAGTTGTTTGCATTCCGACGTCAACGAAGGGGTAATAAAAACGATAGACTCAACTTTTGTTTTCTCCCAATTGGTGTTTGACGTTACTCACCAACCATATTGCCTACGACGTTTGACGGGTATCATTTTGGGCTACATCAGTGTGTTCAAATAAAATAAAAAGACCTCCAAGGGAAAATATCACGGTCATTCTCTCACAACTTGTTTATATATCAAATAAGGGTAAAGGGTCTAAAATCCCGTGGACTATTTGGCTTGTCGAAATGTTCACTCTGAAAAAAAATTTCAGCCAATTTAGTCTTCGTATTAAATTTAATTGCCAATTTCACCCCCTCCGTTAAGTTTTCCCCAATTCCATCCAAATGCCTGTCAAAAAAGAATAAAATAATATCTTTTTCTCTCTAGAACCTCTGTTTCCCTTCTTCCCGATCAAACCCAATCCCCTCCTCTCTCTTCCATAACCACCATTACCAGCCACACTCACCATCATCACAGCACAAACGATGTATATATGGAGCACCGCATCATCCCCAGACCCAGCGGCGACTCCACAACCTCACCACAATCTCTCTCGGGATCATGTTCTCATGCTCCTCCCTGATGCCCACTACCACCCCAGCCAGATCCCATCCGCCCTCTTTCTCTCTCTCTAACCGGATACAACATTAGGCACAAAGAGAAAATTCCTGTGCTGGATTGAATTCATTCTTTGTTTTCAAATTTTTTTTTTTTGTTTTTGAATTTGCAGACATAGAAGCAGATAATTTATTTTTTGAAATAGGCGGGTTCGAGTTGATGGGGTGTTGGGAAGGATGGGGCGAATTCAATTTTGTAGTTGTTGGGCTATCGGCGATGAAGCTGGTAGGATGGGGATGAGAGAGGCCAGAAGTAAATGGTCGAGATTTTTCTGTGCATTTGAAGAGAGAGAGAGGGGTTGAGTTCCTGATCTGAGTTTTTGATTGGAGGGTCTGATTGAGGTTTGGATCGGGTGCAGAGAGAGAAAGAGAGATGAACGGGGTTGGGAGACAAGGGCAGAGATCTAGTGCGGCAGGGGTGCACCACCAACGACAGTACTCCGATAACTTCTTGGAGACTTCGTCCAATGGCAGGTGGCTTCAGTCAGCTGGTCTTCAACACCTTCAGTATTCCAACTCCTCTGGTGCATTCAAAGCATCTCTCTTTCACTTTCAGCCTTTTTTGAAAAAGTGATCGAACCCTAAGAAAAAAGATTTGGGAATTGACCGTACGAAGGAAGCCAAAGGGGGCTGAGAAAAAGAAAAGTTTTTGTTGGTTTTTTTATTTTTATTAATATTTTATTCAACTTGTGTTTTAAAAAGATTATTTTATTCTTTTTGACGGGCATTTGGATGGAATTGGAGAAAACCTAACAGAGGGGGTGAAATTGGCGATTAAATTTAATACGAAGGCTAAATTGGCTGAATTTTTTTTTTAGGGTGGACATTTCGACAAGCCAAATAGTCCAGGGGGATTTAGACCCTTTACCCATCAAATAATGCATCCGGTAGTAGTATCATCTGGTGGTGGTTGTTACGGTCACTTTAGATATAAATAATAAATAATTATTTTTTATAAAAACAAATTAATCTATGTTCCTACATTCAAAGGAAACGAAGGACCGCTTCCTCTCTCAAGTTAACTTTCTTCCCACCACTTCGCCTCCATCTACATCTCTCCTCAATCTAGGGTTCTTCTGGCGATGACAGACGAGAGCAAACCGACGAATAACTTGCCTATAGATCATGACCATCGCTCCAAGAAACAGAAAGTGAATGCTGATGATTCTTCCTCATGGAACCAATTTGCTAAGAATCCAACCCATCACTCTACAACAGAAACAACTGCTCAGCGCTCTACAATCCTGGACTTCCAGCGTATGACTGACTTACTCAGAATCTCTATATGCTAGCTGTTGTCAAGGCTTCAAATTATATGTTCACTTGTTTTTTTTTTTAGACATTTTATTAATTTTTCCTTAACTCAAGAATCAAGAACCTCACCTCTCTTTTTGGTTTCATTATTAATTCTTCTTAGAGAATCACCAATATGATTCGCAAGGAGTTATAGTGCATGGACCGTCGTCCAGGGAATCAAGCCTCCGAAGATTGGTTGAGCAAGTTATAAGTGAGCTGCCTGATAACAAGAACATAAAAGAAGATAAGGGAGGTATTTGGTTGGTAGTGCATCTTAGGAGTCGTTATTGATCAGCTATTTGGTTGTTGTGATGTTCGAATTTTTATCTCCACAAGTAAATTAGGGGAACACCTTTTGTTTTGCTTGCTAAATAAAATTAAGTTTGTTTCGATTTGCGTTAAGTGGTCCTATTTGTAAAAGTGGATCACATGTAATGTAACAGCCATGGAAGGGGAGGCAAACGTTCAACATTTTATATATATTCCCTTTTGTCGTCTCACCCACCATATTCTAGCTAGTCCGAGCTTTCCAGGTGACTAAGTATTGTTGCCCTTTAATCAATTTATAGCCTAACTATGAAAATGAAATATAACAATAGAAATGGACTCTTGCTCCATAAATTGAGAAAGCAGAAAGATGGTACAGACTCATTATGTCTTTAGTTGTTTGCAGTAAGATACATAATAGAAATTCATAAAATCAAAGTTGTTGAAGTTTAGGACAAACACCAATGACGGCCCTTTTTTTATTTTGAAAAAAACTTGGTTGAATGTAGTGATAGATCTCTTCGGTTTTATGGCTAAATTCTTATAAGTGAATTGCGCTTGATCGAATCGATCCTCTCTCGCTATATTTTTAGGGGCTTCAAGTAAATACATGACCTCTCTTGCGTTGCGTTATTTCTACATTTTTTTATACAAGGTATATTTACAGGGAGGGGATATGAACAAAAAGACCTTATGTACAAAGATAATTGTTAACCACTTGATCACAAATTTTTATTTATTTTCCTTATTTTTATGAAATAAATTTTATTTTTAAAATTAAATTAAATTGTTCCTAAGAAATTATTGCGATGAACTAAAAACATTTTAAAAACAATTACTAAAGCTAGGGTCTCAAATTTTTAGCACTGCGGGGTTGGAGAAAGAAAAAAAACTGTTTATGACCCTATTTATTAGGATCCTAAAATTTGGGTTTGGAGATGGTCTTAGAGAACAAATAACGTCAAGCTCTGGAGATAGCCTTAGAGAACAAATAACTGAAGCAAACAAAACCAAACATATCGACCAAGAAAAATATTTTAAAACTCAAATAATCATGTGTAAGCTCCGACGTACCAAAAGCTGTGACGTAATAATATATGCGTACATAAGAACAACTAAAACTGACCCAAAGAATGAAAATTGACCCAAGAAAAAGAAGAAAAGAAATTAAACAAGAAAAAAGGGCAGCAACCTAAGAGTCGAAAGAGTGAGAAATGAAATAAAGGCGTGACCGTGGAAAATAGGATGTGCCGGGAATATGGAAAAAGCTGGCAACAATAAGTCAAAACCTGTCACCTATATTTGTGGAAGGTCACGAGACCAGCAACCATTCATCATTAGCAACCAGCCCTTCTGATGTTTTATAAGCCAAAAAGTCACGAACTCAAAATTAGTATCCTTCATCGATTTCAATTCAGGGACAAACAAGATTTGATCAACATAAAAGCGTATATCTATAACTATGAAAGAAATTTTGCTTAATAAGACGAAGGGTGCACAAATTAATGCAAACAAGCACATGTTGCAAGATGATGAAAATTTTAGTTTTATTCAGATGATCAAGTCCATACAATTTAGAGATTGCACACAAGCATGCATAATAATACATGGCGAAAGCATAAAGAAAGAAGCAAGCAAGAAAACAAGCATCAGCTGCGAGAGGGAAAACGCAGCCAGGAAAGATGTGAAACTCCATGTGGAAGAGAGAAATAAGTCTTAGCGAGGGTGAATGGCATAGTACGTCTGTGTGACAGTGAGACTGAAAAGGACAGCCGCAGCCAAGAATGCCGTGATACTCCATGGACTAGAGAAATATGTGTTATAAAGGGACCTCATATATCTCTGAAGCCGCACCATCCAAAATACTTTGAATTTGCGCCAGTGAAACCAGGACCTACTGTAATCATTCACCTGGTCGCACAAGTCGCCAAAGAAGAAGTCCTTTGGATTAACATGGTCTAAAATATTTTGGAAATGAACAAAATATTCGCCTCCTGCAAAATTTTCAACTATGATCTCTTTTTTCTTGAGTAGTTTGATATCCGCTTTCGAACGGATGAGACTCTTCATGAGGATGACATATGATGTGATGTGATGTGAACTCTTGAGATGACATTGCTCAAAAGCAATCAGGTTCCGGAACAGTGAATCTGTAGTGTCGTCAATGAACACCGGTGGAATTTTGATTGTTCCTTTTTCGAATTTTATGCACAACAAATGGTCCTCGGCCAACCCTTTTTCAAACTGGATTCCAGCGTCATAAAGGTCTGAAGCGCAATACTTGAATTTACTTTTTTTCTTACTTGCCTTTGCTGGGACTGGGAGGAAGAACTTGCCCAAAAGTTTAAGCAAATGGTTGGAGTTTGGAGTCTCCGTATCTTCATTTCTTGCATGTTGGTTGCTTGCCTTGGCAGGACCCAATTCAACTATATGGCCCGATCTTGGGAGGAAGAAGTTGTGCAAGAGATGAAGCAAATGCTTGCAGTCTGCAGTCTTAGTATCTTCATTTATTGCCTTTTGGTTCATGGGTTGAAAAAAGTTAAGAGCAAGGCTAGTGACCGAATTTGGTGGTGTATATTCCACGGTGTGAGGGATGAGAGGCTTGATAATATTGTACAATATTTCGAGAATGAAGAAAGGGATCTGGTTTTCAAGTAATGCCAGATCTGTTGGAAAAAAATGGCTCACCTAAAGGATACAAAGGTTTTGGCGCTCAAAGAGAGAATTTGAAACTGCCTAAAAGCGACCGGTCGCTGGGAAGTTGCGACCGGTCGTTTTCTGGCAGATTTGATGTCTGGAGCTAAACCAAGGAGCGACCGGTCGCCAGTTCTTAGCGACCGGTCGCCAGTTCTTTGCGACCGGTCGCATGAAGCACGAGCGACCGGTTGCCAGACATTTGCGACCGGTCGCTGAGAAGCAGATTCGAAGTCTGTAGAGAAAACTTCTGGCGACCGGTCGCCCATTCCTGACGACCGGTCGCTCCAGTCGTGCTGTGACGTTTCCTTACGTGTTTTCAACTGTGTTTT